TAGTGGTAATAAACTGTACACTGCTATTTGACGGACAGTCAGATACCGTTATAGTGGTAATAAACTGTACACTGCTATTTGACGGACAGATAGATACCATTATAGTGGTAATAAACTGTACACTGCTATTTGACGGACAGTCAGATACCGTTAGTGTGGTAATAAACTGTACACTTCTATTTGACGGACAGTCAGATACCATTATAGTGGTAATGAACTGTCCACTACTATTTGACGGACAGTCAGATGACATTATAGTGGTAATTAACTGTTCACTGCTATTTGACGGACAGTCAGATACCATTATAGTGGTAATAAACTGTTCACTACTATTTGACGGACAGTCAGATACCATTATAGTGGTAATAAACTGTTCACTACTATTTGACTGACATTCAGATACCATTATAGTGGTAATAAACTGTTCACTACTATTTGACGGACAGTCAGATACCATTATAGTGGTAATAAACTGTTCACTACTATTCATTGCGTATTTAAATATGCCATATTAGTGAAACATTACAGCGAAATATAAAAAAGAAACCTATCAATATATGGAATCATCAAAACAAGCATATGTATGTACATTTACAGCAGTATATTAGCATTTACAAATTTCAGTGTATTATATGTATATATAAGAAGATCATAGTTAAATATGATAGGAAATATTCATCGTCTTGTCATGTTGTAAACTTTTTTTCTACGCTTTTATCTGCTGGTGGCGCGATTATGTGTGGCCAGTTCCCACACCGAGGGAAGTTTGCAGGAGTGGAAGGGATCTGGTCGAGCCCGCCGACCTGAAGCACAAACCCCATTCCAACGTCGGCGTGGAATTCAAGGTGACAATGCATGAACCAGAATCCTGAAATAAAATATAATTTTAAAAAGTTTCAAATATGATTATATGCAATATAAGTGTATTATGACCAGACACAGATCTGCTCCATTAATATTGACATCATATTTTTGTTAGAAAAGAATCAGAGAGGCCCTACCGCAAAAGCAAAATCCAAGTTAACCGAGTAGGAGCGGGATTCCAGGCAGAAGCCACATTTTCTGCGTGTAGGTCTAAACTGTTTTCACAGGTTACTATCACTAAATATAATTTATAGTTGCAACAATTTAACAAAAGAAAAACAAAAATAATTTTAATTTCTTTAGAAGAAACCTTATGACACAATGCGACTTGAAAATGGAACATTGAAGTGTTGCTCTCTTAAAAAATTCAAAAATAAGATTGCCGTGAAAATAAGCCACATTCGACAAGAAATCTATTTTCGGGATTTTAGGGTATATTATACAATCTGAAGTTAACATTCATATGGACTGATGAAATCCAACACTACTCTGCCATATAACGTACAATAGGGAAATACTTACTGGTGACAAAAGATTGAGACGATTAACAGAAATATAAACCTTTCATATTGTTCCTCAAGGACTGAAATTATTTCTTTTATCATCGCAAATTGTTAATTGATTATATATATATTTATCGTTGTGTCATGTTGCAATGTATTCGTTGAAAACACAATTAATAGGCTGTTTGTGTACCAACAGGACAAACTATGCTTCTTTCTTGGCAGACGTTTTTCTCATATCAAGCTGAATTTGTTGAAGATTTGACAAACACCTAGTCAATTCCTTAAATTCCACTTTTAGATATATCTACGGAATGTGTCAAAACAAATTTTCGTTCGCTTTTGAATATCCACAAAGTTGCTAACGCCAAACGCATATTAACACGGACGTATAATACCTGGATTGTCGGCATGGATTCGGAGGATAACATAGCCACCATCAGGGACGGTAACTGTGTCCTTATCAACCGGTGACGTAAGATTCCTCATCAATTTTCCTTCATTGTCCAATTTTTTTACCTCCTCAAGAGTCGTAGACTTGTTGAGCTGTTTGGTATACAATAAACATGCTTTGCAAAGATATTATGAAAAAAGAGGTAACTGAGAAAATAAATAAAAAACATTTTCACAAAACATAAGAAATGAAAAATGCCATTATTTGATTATATTTTAGGTTGGCGATTTGTTTTACTTGATATAAATGTTATCGAAGCAGAAATGGTGAAATTCCTTCAATTTTTGTACACATTGTACATACTATGCATTCGTAAACAAGCTGACTACGAAACGATACACATAGAAGAGAGATCAGCAGCACTATTTTGTTACCCTGTTAATATGGCGAGGTTAAGTTGAGTGTCAGGATTGTTTTGATCGATCTGTAAATATCCTATTGCGGAAGAAAGACAAATCGATTTAATATAAAGGTATCTGATAAAAGTATGATATTTTAAATTTCTTGACATATATTATCAAGCCACATTCAAAGCCATTTGTTTGTGCTGGCAGCTCACGCAATTTAAATGCATTATGACATTATTATACACACCCTGTCCATGCCTATAACTCTAAACTTATGACCGTGAAGATGCATTGGATGGTTGGCATCCCAGACCTTTCCTTCATCTATGATGACGAGTTCAACCGTGTCATTAAGGTCCACCTTTATCGTGTGAATACACTCACAATATTCCGCAGAACAATTCTTTTGCACCGTGGCAGCGTTACAAAACATGTCCTTAAACAAAGTGAATAATAAATATTACTATTCAAATGCTATGATAGTTATACAGATCAACAGGTGCTTCCTAATTATTTTTTACTCTGCGCCTAGACATAGCTAACAGAATATCCTTCGGGCTCTTATCGTAACCTGTATAGGTGTACAGTGTGGTCGAAATTTGTCCAAAAAAGGTAATGGTCCTCGATAAATGTCAGCAAATATTACAGCCATTAGATGCATGCATAAGCCGACATGAAATCAGATTATTGCGAATCTCAAACGACCGTCATTAACCTCTCTTCACTGCGTGGCATGAGATGGGATTTAGCGACTTTGATAATAACCGTTTTTGTTGATTTAGTGAAAAAAACCCAAAAAACATCGTCTTTTATTTCGATCACTGTGAATTTGATGTTGATATCTGTGTACATATTTATCATGTCAAAAAGGTAAATGGTATTGACTTATGCAAGGAATACTCATATTGGGCGAATAATGAGATAGCAAAAACAGGTAGGTTGTAAATATGGACAGAAATCACTTGAAAAAAGTGAGAAAAAAGTGATAATAATAATAATGATAATAAACTTTATTTAACGAGGGTGACATGTTTAGCCAAAGTCTCATCTACCACATGGTCCACAAAAGCACCAAGTAGAGAAATTAACACCCAAAACACATGCAACAAAAAGCTGCAATGATGAAAATTAAAAGGCAAGGTTGGATTTTAACACCGATTTGATGCGACTCTTTCCAATCAGTAACCTGTCAATCATCAATAAACAAATTGAACACTGCAATCTGTATACTTTGAAACAACCATATACCGAGTTTAACACTGGTCGTAACCGGGCAAATTTGCAAGACACATAATACAGCTTGTATTATGTACATAATACACTAAACAATATTAGTAAATATTGCTTGGTATGTCTGAATGATGAATCTGATGAGGGTAAATTGAAATTACCCATCCAGGAACAAGAAACACATTATATTTTAGCATAAATAAGGACCCCCCCCCCCCTTGTTTGTAAATGAAATGATCAGATACGTTTCACAACGCAGTACATATTGTGATATTGTAACGACATTTGGTCAGGTGATCAATAGCCGATTGTAATGTCAATCGTCGGATAATGACCACACTGACTTCGATGTTGCAAAAGTTTTCACGGGGATTTGCCTTAACATTTGAAATTACTCACAAAGGTTAACTATTCCCTGAGTGCTATCTTCAGAATTGAAACCAACTCAGTATCAACACAGATACAGACACTCTATCAAAAACTATAAAAAAAGTATTATATGTGTAATAGTTGATATTGTTTTCTTCTATAATGCATTACTATTGCTACCTAATATAACAAGGCTTTCCTAGGTATGTCAGCAGTAGCATACATGGTATTGGATCATAACATCTTGTGCTACATACATTCCTATGTAAACCTAACAAAGGTGACAATCAAAGATAACATGCGATTCGCAACAGAGCAGTTTTCCGTGTACCTGTGGTATGTCATTGAACTGCGAGAGAGGAGGGGAAGGCGGTAGTGTGTTACTGATGTGGTTGATTTGTGGTGTCAATAGATGGGTGTGTGCCTTCCCAACAGTCAACGGGGGAACATATTCAGGCCCAACGTAGAAGTTGAAGTTTTCGATGTTGTTGAAATCCATGGCGAGGTAAAACTTTTTGTCTGGTATATCATTAAGAGCTTTGTTAGACGGTCTCAAATTTTCAAGGTGCGTTACCGGTACAAGCATATCTGTCGCTTTCCTATTCCATGGATTTAGTTTCTGGGAACAATAAATACAAACATAATCAAACTGGAAGATATTATTAAAAGCAAAATCAATACTACCGTTAGAGGACTAAATGTTGATATCCATAAAACAACCGTTCTCACCTCATATTCCATTTTAAAAATGTGCACTGCTGCGTAAATAAAACTTCAGGTGCTTATTTGTTGTATTAGAAATTTAATGATTTCAAATTTCATCATCCTGCTTTATTTCAGCTTTTTATAGGCCTATTCTATGTCAACACAGCGTTAACAACATTAGTATTATAGTTGGTTCAATTATATATTATATCAAAGATCAAAGCCTTCATATTTGTTATTTAATATATTGTGTTCTTTATCCATGATTGTCATAACTTACTTTTCCTGCACGCGCTCCAAACAGGTAGCCAGATGGTCGATTCGGAAGCTCCTCGGCTGATCCATTGTAGCGAAGGATGGCTTGCTGGAACGCATTCTTCACCGAACAATCCCCCTGTCCCCGCGCCCTAACCCAGTAATTGTCCATATCCTGGTCAGCCAGAACAACCACATCGTACCTCTCCCCGGCGAATAAGTTAATGCTTTCAACATCTATGTATTGAAATGGATTTCCATCGCTGCTGATGACGCGAAGTGTATGGTTGTCAATTGAGAACTGGACTGGACAGTTCAGTATGCCATTGCTAATTATCCGGAATCGGTAACGTCGTCCGCGCTCAACATTAAACACTTCATATGGTGTTGTGATGTTTATCGTTCGTTCATTGTCGTAGAAAACACGATGCGCCCCCTTGCCTGAAAGAATAGTTAAAAGCACAGTACAATAGATGGTTAATGAGCCATATCGTCAATATACAAAATTTCAACATAAGAAACCGCAAAGAAGAAAAACAACAGGAAAGACGCTTAAACCTGACCTGTAAAAGGTTGTTTAAATGTGATCATATGTTAAACTTTTTCACGCTATATATTTGAAAGGTTGCATAATATACAAAGTGCAAGCTACATTGTTACAAAACTGCGTCTTTTGAAAACAAGAAATCGGACAGCATAGAGGAGAAAAAGTTTTCAATTGTTTTTGAAACCACGTAATATCATGCTCGTTAAAGAAAGCGCATAAAAATGTGTCTTGTCAACATTTGAATATATATTTCAAGATCCTTCGACAAATAATGAACATCACACAGGTTGATAATTTAACAATTAAGTGTTGAGATGTTACTGCTTGCTGATGACATAGCATAAATATCACAGACAACTTTACCGCTCATTACAACCCTGGACTGTAAATCGAGGTTCAATGTGCAGCACCTTGTGGATGAGACAAAAAGACTAATTTGGTCCTTTAATGTACATCAACAGAATCTCGCGGTCGCGTAACGGTAAAAATTGACAGACTTTGAAGTAGGGCATTGGTTCTTTGTAATCTTCAAAGGACAAGTATCAGCCTAGTGATTGGTTAGGTGTTTGTACCTGCCACCAATCAAATAACTGGCCGCGTGCCTTCATATTCCAGAGGTGTAGAGAGCTAAAGTGAGCGTAACCCCTGGATATCGAGGATGGATATAAGTATAACTTAATTAACATCGCATAAAAAACGCATATCAGATAAGTGTTGAATGGTGAAATTTTTAAAGTGCCATCAGAATCAGTTTTCCATTAAACTACAATACTTTTACACTTTGATCTTTTTTAGGACAGACAAGATTTATGGTCGTAATCATAATGCTAGTTATTGGTGTGATATGAAGGTCAATGTTATTAATTATGCTCATTTGAATACTTTGTGATGTTGTTGTCACTAGCCAAGGTCTCGATGGGAGGACGTGACATTACTTGGATTCGACCTAAATTTACATGGCGGGTGTCATCGATGAATCAGAAGACGCTAATTTTTCTGGAACACATGGTCTCGTTATCTTTGTACTCTTTCAAGGGTCTGCATATAAATTTTGCCTTTGTCCCGATTTTGCCCTAGTTTTGTCGATTTTGAGTTCGAATTATGGTTGAGTTGACACTTCGGGATTCTCTGTTTGACAAGGTATACTAGCGTCGACAGCAATTATTTTGACAACTTCACGAAAAAAAACCACGTTTATTGTATTACTTAAACATAATTATACCTGCAAGTTATTATCCAATTCGGTGTTAGCAAACCCACTATTACAAAACATAGGTTATTCATAAACAAGTCTGCTGCGTCAACCATTAGACCAAGATTCCGACTTACGATGCATCAGATAAAAACATTATTGGTACCTAGTTTGCAGCTTACACATAATGTTTGTTCCGGATTAGTTCACGGGAGTAATTAGGACACAGCGGACCAGATCTGTGTACCTTAATTTGGATTACCAATTTTGGTATAAAATAATTGCAAAAATATGCCATTTAGATATAAATTACAGTAAAGCTACCGTTGATAAAGTCTTCTTTCAAGTAGCCTGTGACGTTTTACGTTATCATTTAGGTGTATTCAATGTAAAATTTATAACATTTTTGGTGGTTTATATCAAGTAAGCATTAGGTCATTGACAACACCATGTGCGCAAGATTACCATTGATGAGCATCGAACCAGGCTTATTGTCTCCGTAAGCTTGATGGTGATTAGCAAACCGATTCAGTGTTAATTCCAGTAACCAGTCGTTGATGAGTATAGTATGTTCGGGAAGGTCGTAGTCATAAAGACCGTGTTGCAACTCGTGTTCGGCGGCTTGTCGAACAACAAATGCCCCAAAGATTCCATCAGCGCGATGTAGCCCGAAGTGTCCGTGCCAAAAGTGGGTGCCTGGATCGCTGACTTTAAATCTTTTTATCATAAACAAATATAATTTTGTTGTATCATCTGGTATTTCAAAATACAAAAGTAGATTCAAATATATATAGCATCTTAACTTTCACAATGTCATAAAAGTAACGAATGTAAATGGCCACTTTGCTGAATAAAGTGTAAAATATTGCCCATCAATTGTTAGAAGCCTAGCCAGGAAAAGGACATTCACAAAAAACAATTGATGAAGTATTTAAAAGAATTATTATCAATAATAACTTAAAAAAACCAAAAAGGAATTTTCGAAAGTTAAAATTTTGAATTGATTTTATTTCATAACCTTTATTTGCTATTCGGTTGGCCTTCGGAAAGTAGAATGTATTGTGGTTGACTGACTTAGATGTATTATCCGAGGAAGACATGGTCCCTATAATATGTGGCTGACCTACCTATATTGGAATGTAGTATAGGCAGGTATGGGGCACTGTGTCAGCATACCAACACCGTCCATATGTGGGGAGTCGTGCTGAAGGATCCCATGCCAATGAATTGACATCCCCTCACCAGTCATTTTGTTATGAAGATTAACGATAACAGTGTCACCCTCACATACCTGGAATATATTTATAGTAATTCATCGACTTCATGACATATAAGATACTGTGAAGCTAGTTATACTGAAATAAGTTCTACATTAGACTTAGTACATAATATAAGGATGCAATTGGAACTCCAAATCGACATGACATCACAGCAACTACCGATGAGACACCAACAACACAGTATGGAGTTCCTATGACATTAAAGATAATAATATACAAAACATACACTCAAGTGCAATGCCAACGTCTGATACTCGAGACTTTTAACAGCCCCCGTCAGGCTTAGCATCTTTCCTGAGGATGCATTATATGATAGATACATCAGACCCGGCTGGTTGTTGGCGTGTGGCAAACCCTTCAAGAATGGTTCAACGATGCAATACAACTTAAAGTGGAAATTTATTTGTAGACAATCAAAATTCAAGCGACAAGAAATACAATACAAAAGTACACTCTCCACAGTAGCCCGAAAGACCACCTGTACAAGTGTCTATATGTTGAGATGAGCGGTATCCGTTTTACTAATTGACAATGTGTTTATATATAAATGAGCAGGTTGTTGAATAGCCTAGTAGTATCTCTAAATGTTTAAATAGAAGCTACCTTATTTCTTACCTTTACTCCTAGAACCTTTGTTCCTAGCATGCTCCTATTTTTTCCTAGTACCTTTGCTCCTAGTACATTTCTCCTAATTACTCCCCGTACCTTTCTCCTAACTTCTCCAAGCACTTTTCTAAACACATTATAGTTTTTGTAACTCCTGATATCTAACTCTAACTTTCTATTTCTTCTCAAGTGTCATATCTTCTGCAATTACCGCCGACTGTTTTTTTCTGCTCGACTCCCTGCTCAGCATGGGGCCAGAACAACACTGACTCTTCGAATCTCCCGGCTCTCAATTTATAGAAAGTGCTAGCAAATCATATTGCTTAAAATTACCAACACGAGAGATCTCCCGCGTTTACTATACTAAGTGAATAAAGTCCGAGAGACCCGAGTATAAACTATGAAGATGTCTCCCGTGTGTTTCCGAAAATATATACAAATATAGCTGCCGTAGAAAACGAATCGTTATGTCCGAGACAAATTTTCGACTCTAATGACCTATACTAGTTCAGACAGTATGAATAAATGGAATAGATACAGGTACATTTGTAGAAAGTTATCTCAACAAGCTGAACAATCGTTTCGAGTATAAACGTTTGATTCCCGTATAAATACAGATGACACCTGGCGGTGGACTTGGCGTCTGTCCAAACACATTGGTTCACTATTCACTCATCACCTTGCATTTATTCACAGACTCGCACCATAATCAAGATCTAACTTCGATAGAATACTTGTACCATGATACAATTTGATGTCAAACAACAATATGAGATAATTTACAGACGAAATTCCCGTTACAATAAGAGAACGGATTTGTTGTTATTATCGGACTATGTTACCTTTCAGCATACGAGGTTTGGTAGTTATGGACATGCAACAACATCTCACGTTATGATTTAATACGTCATACATGTACGTATAGAATGATACCATCACATGAAATATAGTTTCAAAGTAATTAAGGTGAAATTCGGGTGACAATAATGGAACAATAATACTGCCACTTTATAACTCTATGTACAAAATGTACATGGTTACACATATTTATAAGCTATTAGGCCAACCGGCATAACACAAGACTACAAATTCATTAGACGGAATGGTTTAGTACTCAGAACCTGAAGCTTTCTTTTCTCCCATGAAAAATACATTTTTTCTTGATTTTGTAATCTTTGCTCGAGACATTTCTAACATTGACTTATTTTAATATTTTGTTTTAAAACCTTACTTTGAGGCGGAAAATTAAAGATAAATAATCAGGTTGACGACCATGCATGCACTTTGGCTTACGTGAATGCCTGGTCCAGGCAGCATCCTGTTGATGACTAGTATCGCCCGGGAATTACCGTCGGCTGGAACACACCCTGGTCTATAGCAGTCACTGACGTTATGAGGACAGTTCCAACAGGCTTTGGTGAGAGTGTAGAAATACTCCGCTCGGAAGGCATACTCGCAGACCATGGGGTAGTTTACTTGACAGGTCCTTATACAGGGGTGGTCACGATAATCTGCTTACAATTTTAATCATAGATATAGTGATATGTACTTATCATTGTGATTTGCTTAACATTTATTACAAATATGCAAGAAAATTAGATATTACACATAATTCTCCGCGTTACTCACCTTTCATGGGGATCAGGACTTCCGCGATACTGTCGTGGACCCTAACCATAACAAGTAGGATTACCAAGGCAATCATGGTCTAGTTATCTGCGACAAATGGACAACAAGAGCATTGTAAGAACATACTTTAACATGGTATAAATGGTACAAATTAAGCATACATTTTATCGTCTCCTTGATCATGGAACGTTTCGGTGATGAAGCCGACGAAAAATCACCCAATCAAATAAATAAATAAATGTTAAAGTCATATATCATTTGGTCTTAAAGTGATATTTCTACATTTCTCTGTAAGTTGTTAGAAAAATTAACTGCTTTCCTGATAATTTTGAAAAATAAATCCAAATTCCAACTGCCAAGGATAACTTGTATTAATGAGGAAATTATTTCACAACTTATTCTACAACGTGGCTATCATTAAGCCTACTATGAAATAGAATACATGTTATTGTATATATATATAACATAATAATTAAGGCCTCCAGCTAATACAAACAACCATATATCGTCTGTTTCAGCTTCATCCATACATTTTACTTTGCCGGAATGTCATGGGTTGATACCAAAACGAAACCCTATAAAAACGATGACCTTACTCCAGATTTAATTTCTGCAAGGTACCCTCATTTACATTTAAAAAAAACTTATTTCGACAAGTCATGTAAAGTCACATGCCAACTGGAGCCGTGCGTAGCTTCGTCACTGGAAGAAGTACTATCGATGTGACACACTGTATCTGCCATTTGTGCTATTTATCCTAATTCCATCCTTCAGACTTCATTATGAACATGATGTTACTTACATTTTTCACACAAGGTCAACGATTAAGTCCCGGGTAACAGGAAAAGGTATTGTAACGGCACGTTCGCCTCTTTATAGTTTTCTATTTCTTTTTGTTAACTCACAACTTGTACCATCGAACGAAGTCACCCTGTTTGGGAAAACGCGTTTTTATAATGAAAGATACGCGTGAGACTGAATATAAAACACAATAAAAAATGACACCTACAGCGTTTTACAAAATTACTGACTTCATACGAAACACGCTAGCACGCACTCACACTTTCATGCATACTCTGTCTTATTGCACAGTACTATGGACAGTATTGACAAATGTTTGAAAGTACTGGTTAACAATGTTCACTCTATTTTTGCTGTTTCGAGAAACGTATCCGTACTTGGAATTGTTTTTGTCATCAGAAGTCTAGACGTTATGTCAAGGAACATGACAAACCATGATTTGATAACGAATGTAAACGTTTACGTAGAATATATAGAAACGCTTTAAGATCTTTTAATATGTGTAGAACTGTTAGCAATAGGGAAAACTTGGTTCTTGAAAAGAAGAAATACAAGACCTACGAGGCGAGGGTGAAGAGATCTTATCTTCGGAATGAAGGCGATATGTTAGACATTTTGAGAAAAAATGATCCAAAAGTTTTTTATAGTAATTTTTCTAGACGTAAGTGATTTTTACCAATATTTTAAAGATATTGCATGCCAACAATTTAGTTGACTTTTCTCCCGTCAATGTTGAGCAAGTTGAAGTTGATACCGAATGTATTTACCCTGAGCTTGATGACGAATTCAGTCTTGATGAATTTTGTTGAATGAAAAGACCAAGTTATCTTTGTTTGATACTTATGTATGGGGTTAAGTATGGGGTTATAGTCCTGCACCGCATATTGAAAATATACATTTATTATTTTTGAAAACCGTATTGGGTGTCAGGAAAACAGTAAATAATGCCATGGTGTATTTTGAACTTGGTCGTTACCCTTTGCATATACAGCGTAGGATTGCTATTGCAAAATACTTGCTGCAAATATTAAAGACTAATCACTGTATTTTGAGGGCCTGTAACGATGAACGTTTACAGGAAACCAAATTGTAAAGCAAATTGGGTTTATCATCTGAGACGTGATTTGTGTACGTTGGGTTTTGGAGATGTGTGGTTGGCACATTGTGTACCAAATGAGAAATCTGTTTTATTATTATATATACAACTTATGACAATTTCATAATTTGTAAATATTATGTATGCAATTGAATCTATTTCATGTGTTCTCCGCCATTGTACAAGATATTTGTAAAGTATTTATCTATATGTACATTTCTGTACGCCTATATGCAATGTGCATTTGGTAATAAATTGAATTGACAACACTGATAAACGTTCAAATGAATATGATTAAAGCAAAAATACCTTTATGAAATGGGTTTTCTTGTTTTTTAATAACGACAAGAGCTGTAAATCTACAAAGGTAAATCTAGCTGATTTCATTGGTAAATAACTGGGCTAGGCCGGCTGTATTAAAGCTTGTCACCAAAAGATATATATATATATATATATATATTGTTAATTTTATTTCTTCATTTCTTTTTTTCTTTTTGAAAAGCCATTTTAAACTTATAATATTTACCACCCTCAGCTCACTCTTATGCATCATCGAACGAATAAACACCACAGTTGAGTTATTTACCATGTAATCAGTTACAAATTTCGTTTTCGGTACGACAATGTAAATTTTTGAAATGTATAGTTTTTTTTATTACTGTGAATGTTTGCAGTTTTCCCACTATGTCTAGTGACTTAAATATGAATATAGTCATAACCTTAATCAACTATATGCATGTTTTTCTAATCTCGTAAAGCCTGATAGTGTTTATAATTGGATTTTATAACTCAATCCTTACATTGTTTGAAAACCTTGATTTACTTTAACATGAAACTGATTCCTGATTTTGTATTTTTTTATTACGTCCAAAGGCTGTCAACTGAGTAGTGTCACTTATACAAGCATTTCAGTGACACAATTATCGCATGATGAGTTATTTGAAAAAAAACGATTGGTTCCTGTATCCTGAATATAGAATATAGAATTATTGATAAGGTGGTATCTGTATATCAGACGGTGATACATTGTGAATTCCAATAACTGTTTTTATTTGCCTTTAAAATAGAAACTTGTAACAGGAATATGATAATTAAATGAAGCATTACGCTTTTTTCCCGTTGGCAGTAATCAACATGAAGTGTTTATCTATCATTTGGTAATATTGAATCTCACGAAAAAAATCTAAAAAACTATTTTTTTTTTATATATATAAATACTTAAATACGTGTATAAAATAAGGCATTCACTCAACAATGACACTTTTGTGCTTGCGATATATTTCCCGTTACTCTATGGTATGTTAATTGGTAAAAATACACATATTATTATCGGAAATATAATGAACCATTAAAGGAGGTGATTACACTGGATATACTGTATTATTGTTAAACTTTATCAGCGTGACTGATTCGATGATGCTGGTAAAATAACGGGGCAATAAATCACCATGTTATCCTCATGATCCTACGATCATCTTCGCCCTTGTGAAACATGATAAACCTTTGGGAAACAAAGAATCTTGTTTCCCTATTGCAACACTTCCTGAAATGACCTTAGCTGTTAATAGGACGTTAAACAATATTAAACCAAACCAAATCAAACCAATCCTTTAAAAGGGCAAAACATGTACATTATCACATATCTATCAAATTACTGGCATGAATATGAGTAATATACATATATGGATGTATTATTATGTAATAAAGCTCATTATTAATAAAAAAAATTACATTGTGTAAGTAAGGACTGTTAACATAAACAACATATCATTGTATTTCTAGTAGTAATATATATCGATATTCTTTATAAGAAAGTAAACATACGCACACTAAATTACACTTCACTTTTAATACTTCATGTACTACTCTTCATATTTAGCAGGCTAAGTTATAGATTTAAGCTGGAATCCCGCCAAAATGTAACAATATTTTACTTTTTGAGAAATAAATTGTCAAGTATAATGGCTATTGTTTCTCGTTTCAGCGAAGTCGAGTTGTTGGTAAAGCCCGCGATCCTTTTATTGGAAAATGCCATTTAAAGAAACTGCATGGCGCTAGTTAAGCAATAGTCTGTCTTGACAGGATTTAATTAATATTTAAATGCTTTATAGTACCTTATCATTTGTATATTCTTTAGTCATTATGAATGTACAGAAACATGAAAATCATTACAAACAAATAGATCGAAATATCGAAAATAACACAACCTTCATTAGCCTGTCTAACATCGATGTTTTACCGAACAGTAGCGCTGAACGTAATCCATTCATCTCCATTATTATCACATATTATATTACTAAACACAAGCTTGGATACCTTACCTTAATGATCAAGTGTTTCTTTGTGCATCATTGCTGAATAAACCTGCATGGCGTGTTGAAGGTATTTATATCAGAATTTCTTCATAATTTAATTTAGATTAGTCAGCAAATGTTTTAACAAGGTGATTACTGACGTCAGTAAGTGACGACCGTTATCGGTAACATGCACAAGGTACTAGACAGCCTGACCGGGGTAAACAAACAAACTCTACAGGTAGGGATGAAAAACAGTTAATGTCCGGACAACAAATAAATGTAAAATGATAGTACAGTAGTTAATTAGATACTTTTGACAAACCCATAGTCAAGTATCACGTTGTTGAGTAAACTCACGTTGGATCAGCTAAAGCATAACAGATATGCATTCTTGTTTTTTAAATGTTCGAACACGTTAAGGTTTGATTTGATTTTTTTTAACCATAGAACATGTTTCCGTGGCAAGGTTGTTTAACATTGATAACTAGAATCACATGTTCACTATTGAGCTCGAAAAATCCCAAGGCCATGTACGTTGAAAAAAATATGACTTTAATGTACCCGATATAACTATTTATGTATTGCATTTAATGGAAATTTATAAAATATATCTTTGATACATTTTGTTTAATATCTATTTCATCTTGTTTTGTGCTTAATATAATGTATAGGTAATCTTATAATGGTCAGCATCCACCCGTAACCTAGCATTGTACACTTGTTTGCTTATTTTAATGATTTTAATTCGGAAATAGATAGATCATTCTGTGTTCTACTTGGTCAGTTTTTTACATAAACATAGCTATATTGTTCGGGGCCTTTTGCAATCTCTTTTCCTGTATCAAATTAAGTTATTCTGTAAGCGTCTTCATTACCGTAGCAAGGCTTATTGAAATGTCTCTGAGGAACACAATGTATTGCAAATATGGTGGTGATGTTTGTGAACCTTTTTATGCAGTTGTATATTTTGTCTTGATATCCTCAAGTTTAAGAGATTCTAGTCCTGTTTTTAAACGTTATTGTTGAACCAAATTAACATTGATTAACCATTTTCTGCAATTAAATCTTTTAAGGCAAGACACTTGCTAGTAATGACCATTCAGCACATTTCTTACATTCTATATTTAAATATGATAACCAGATATTATTTTGTCCATGGTTGCTATTTGTAACCATTGTTTTAACTGAGAGGTCATGAGGTCAGGATGAACATGTGCCAAAAAGTTAGTATTTTATGCAGGTCGTCTGATATAAAACCATGGATAAAAATCAAAGATACGGCTTGTAAATAGTACATGGTCGTTGACACCAAGTGAAGGTTGCCTCTCAGACACATTCCACGCTGAAGTGAAATCTAAACAAATTGCTGAACGGTGAGCTATATAATGATCAACAAGCACCATATTAACTTATTTCCTTATGCATCACAATCAGTGGCTGATAGTGTTTCGTATGAATGGTATCTGTTAATTAATGCCTTTGTGTGTTGACCGTACAGATAATGTGTCAACAACCTTTACTGGCGGGTGTTTATTCGTCAACATGTGCCGGCTTGCGCTCAATATTTGATTGCTGGGTCAGTTTATTGTGGATAAAGATGTGTTTCCATTTATATCGGCGACCCCTTGGTCCCTACTCTTGTTTTTGCATTGACTTTAAGTTCAGACCTGGCACTGCACACACGTTCTATATCTATTTAATTAAGGGACAATATGGAGATAAAGCAATGCAGCGTATGGGGAATTTGTACCTCTTTATGAGGGTGACTTGGATAATTTTAAATTCATAAGTAAATACATGATGATAGCATTATGTTAATGCCTAGTAACACACAGACATTATACGTATCTTACTTTATAAACTAGTATAAAACAAAACGTCATTGTACAAGCAAAATGATAGTTATAAAATAACAAAACAGTGGATTAAACTGAAATCAGATTAATTTTACAAGTGAGAAATCATACTCATAAACAGTGTCATGGCGTTTCGACGTTATAGGACATCAAGTGTTTGTTCACGAGTGCGCAGCACGAGTTAAAAATATATCACAATATCAGCCACACGAGTGAAATATATTCATTATTACTGAAAAAATCATTGCGTTTACAAAGGGCATTAATCAGAAGCGTTATACCTAGCGCCATATTATAATGAAGTCACGCTTGACAACAAGACTTCGCGCCATTTTGAATGGGATACTCAAACGCAATTTCAACTTTTTCTGCTATGATCTGGTATGATTGCTTACAAAATGTTATTAATTGTATATTTATGAAACATTTGCACTAACAACCACTTATTCTACCGTCGCTTCATTTAAATCTGAACAAAAAGTCGTTGCCTTTGAATGCAGCGAATAGAAAATACCGTTATGATTGGTCAATACCAAAAAGTAATATTTTAACACTGTGAAAACACCACTTTAGATCAAGATCATAGAATCCGATATTTCACTGGCAAAAATGTAATACATCAGAATATACGCACAAACATGCTATTGTACACGTATGTAAGTACCAATTGATTTTTAACGTGATATTCCAATATATATACATGTTCGTGGTTATATAAATTATTTGTTTTGCCTAAATTTTCCATACACTGAGCCATTGATTCAGTTTAATGGGCAAAAACACTACACTTAACGATAACTTATGGCATATAAAATGTTTGTTGCCTGATGAATAAGTTAAAGTGTAATTTTTAAACATGTCAACTATACCCAAAATATATGTAAAATCAGTGACGTTTCTGGAATAATGCACAGGTGCATTTACTATTGAGAAAAATTCATGAACATAGGTATGTCAGGTGGAAGCTATCCTTTTGTAAACAAGAGAAGTATGCACATTTAATATGCTATTGAGAAAAGACAACACAACTTAGTAACAAATATAGCATACATGTCAGGTGGAAACTATCCTTTTGAAAACAAGAGAAGTATGCACATTTAATATGCTATTGAGAAAAGACAACACAACTTAGTAACAAATATAGCATACATGTAAATGTTGACAGGTAGAGTTTCAGGTAAAACATAAGCTAGTACGAGCCATAAACACATGTAATCATTTGAACATGTACGTCTAGACAAATCAGAAAAAACTTTACAGTTGTTACATAACAAACATGTATCCCTCAATGGGGAGGGAATCATACTAATTGTCCGTAGGGACGGCTGGGACAGTGGGTGTATTACCAGGCGAGCGTTGACGATTGTTGTTGGAGCGAGGACGATGCACTGGATGTGCTGGATGTGCTGGATGCGCTGGATGTGCTGGATGCACATGATGCGCTGGATGTGCTGATGTGCTTGATGTGCTGGCTGTGCCTGATGCGCTGGCTGTGTTGGATGGTACCATTTTAATGACCAATATTATATATTGTACATAATAATAAGCGTGAATGTGTGCATTATATGTGTAATATTGAGGATGTACATATGTTCACAGTCATGACTAAGGAGAAATAACTATGAAAGCCATCTTATGATGTGCATATACAATTATTTATTTTATAAAATAATTTTGCTTTTTGGCAATACAATATGTTTAAACTAATGTACCCGAAAAATGACCAACTGACTTTGAATAACGTGCTTGAGTGAATACCTGGACTCTGTGTTTGGTCATCGCTTCATTAACGTATAACTGGAATGAACTGGGCTGGTGGATGATGTAAAATTTCTCGTGGTCGACTCACTAGCAAAACGCGAAAATCTGACATCAAAAACTGAGGCTCGTACACGGTAGGATACATATTCTACAAGTATGGCCCGCGAGAATCTGGCAATCATGTGGTAGCGGCTGATATCACTCTCTGTGACCATGCCTTCAATGGTAGAGTTACACGCCTTTAATATTAAGGAATCAGTGTTCTCATTTTCTTCTTCGGAGATTCGTCGAAAATTGCTCAACATCATCTTGTCTGCTTTTATAAATTGAGACAGCTGATGCTTGATGTCAGGAAATCAGCGTGACCTTGAAAATATCATAGTACTGATACTTTTCTGATGAGCTGAATTCATAACGAAAGTTTGTATATGTTCATCAGTATGTATAGAATGAATCGTATAAGGTCGATATAAAGCAAAACACGAACTGGCCTAGCAAAACATGGCGGCTCAAGAATAACGTACCACCGTTCAAATGAAGTTATAAATACAGGCTTAGCTGATGTAGACATAACACAGATAATATGACGAAAACTGAAGTTATTATCAAAAACTAAATAAAAATCTTGAGCTGGAATCCAAGCAAACAATAATGAGTCGTTGATTAGTGCTACATTACATTGTCCGGGAGTTCGCCATTGTACGTCGGACACCGGAAACAGTCTCACGTGGTTATTTCAACGACAACAATGTTACAAAAACAAAACTAAGTCTACATCGTGTAACGAATTTGGGGTCATTCCAGTAATGAGCAATGCTTATACAAAGTACTTTGTATTCGGAAAATGTAACACAGAAGCAAAAACCAAGGATACGTTGAAACATGTTTAACAAAAGACTTATTTTACAACGTGGCTCACATAAAGCTTACTATCAAATATAATTAATGTCATTGCTCATATATACATGTTTTTAAATTATTGCTTCCAGTTTGTTTTAAATCACTTATACAATCAACCATATATTTTACTCTGCAAAAATTGATTGACCCCAAAACGAAACATTATTTCCTGATGCCCTTATTCTAGACTTAGTTTCCGCAAATAACTTTTACATTATATTTCTATTGCAACAAAGTATGTAAACACACATGCCCAATGGAGCCGTGCGTAGCTACTTCATTGTCAGAAGTATAATCGATGTAACACAAACGTATCTGCCTTTTGTGTATCTATCTCAATTCAACCATGCAGCCTTCAGTGAGATCATCATGCTACATAACATTTTCACACAAATAAACGATAAAGCGCTGGGTAACAGGAACATACATCTCAAAGGCACGTTCATGACATTATGTATGTATAATTCTTTTTGTTGTCTCACAATTTGTACCTGCGAACGATGTCATCCTTTTGGGGAAAATGCGTTTGTAATTAGAAAGACACGCGTTCTACTGCATATAAAACACATCAAAAACGATACCTACAGCGTATTACAAGATTACTGACACCACACGAACCTATTGCTATGGAAACACACTTACCGTTGTACTGCATAATACTGATGAACGTTCAACTCAATAGGATTAAAGCTAAATCCAACTATACGAAATATTGTGTTTTAATTACGACAAAAGGACAGAGTATGCAGGTATATGTATGATGATTTCAAAGCATGTAAGGTTAGAAATATCATGAACCAATGATAGAAATTGTAATACTGCAAAATCAGATCTAGGTGACTTAATTAGTAAATAACTGGGCTGAGCCGGTAAAATGAAAGCTAGGCCGATTTTATTAAAACTTGTGGTCAGACTATATAAATATGTACTTTTTGTTTATTTTTATTTATTCAATTATTTATATATTCATCGAAAGACATTCTAAACTTGTTACATTTTTTTGTCTTTTAAATAACAACTTTTTAAGTTCTTTATTACTTTAAGTCGGTTGACTTATCAGTCATAACATATATACAAAACAATACAGAGACAACATACAATATGATACACCCACACATACACACACACACACACACACACACACACATACACAATTCAACTTTTAGACCGCAAGTTTGACAACTTATTGGATAACTATACTTTACAATAAATTACAAATTACGTATATGTATTGTGCAATCAACACTCATTATCACTCCCACATCATTATTGTGCATTCAACAATCATTAACGCTCTCACATCATCATCATCATCATCATCATCATCACCATCCTCTTCATCATCCTCATCATCATCAGCAGCAGCATCATTAACATCTGACATTAACAACAACAACATGTAATCCGCAACGATACAAATGTCAATAATACATAAATAGACATTTATATAAATTATATTGATGTGCATGTTTACGTCACTCGTGCCTTATTTGCCTCAAAAATGTATCTAGCAAGTTTACGAATAACGCTGATATTATCAGCACTTAGTAACTGTACAAGTTTAAACATTGAAGGATTTCGCCAGTAATATGGTTTTATGTATTTTACTCTCAGAATATGAAAATTGTTACATATTAAAATAAAATGATATTCGTCTTCAATATCTGAAATGCAGCTCATACAGTGTCTTTGTTCTCTCGTTATGTTATTGTATCTACCAGTCTCAATAGCTAAATTATGTGCAGAAAGACGAAATTTAGATAAACAGATCCGGTATTTCATTGGAATATACTTGTTATAGGAAGATGCTAATTAAATGAAGCATTATGCTTTTTTTCGTTAGCCATTTTCAAAATAATGTGTAATTGTTTTGTTAGAAGGAAAAGTAAGAATGCGATAGTGATTAACCTCAGAGAAACAAATAATCGTTTGTATACAGATCAGTATGTACTGATCAAACAATTAAGAAGTTAGTAAGGACTGATTAAGAGACATGGATGGCATATCAATAGATTCCTAGCATTGATAGAAAGCGGTTATACAATTAAGGCTTGGATGTCGCCGAATTTGGAAAATATCTTACTATTTCTCTCGGATAATGCCATACAAAGAAACTGCATGGCGCTAGTTAACCTACAGTATGTTTTGGCAGGTTTTTAATACGTTTTTAAGTGCCTTCTATTTTTTGTACGATTTTTTCATTATGAATGTAAAAGAGGGAAGTACCAAGAATAACATAAGATTCACTCGTCTGTCTAGCCTCGATGTTTTATCTTACAGTAGAGCTGATAATGACAGTTGAAAATGTTAATGCTGCTTAAAACTGTTGAAAAAACTCTTCTTGTCTACAGACCAGATTATATTCAAATTATTGCTGCCGAGATGATGACGAGATCGAAAAAGAATACCAATATGCATTCAATCATTTCATAATGTCACTTGAAATCGTTAATATCTTTAAGTAAAATATTGTATAGAGATAGTGTTTATACGTTACTTTGTACTGAACGCAACACACTAATTCGTCATTGATAAATCTATTTAAGTTTCTATTAAAGTTTGGATACCTTAACTTAATGATCAAGTGCTTCTTTGTGCATCATTGCTCAATAAACCTTCATGATGTTTTGAAGGTATTTAAAATATCACTTTAAAACTTAATATTTGCCATCAGAAGTATCAACAAAGGGATTCCTGACGTCTGTTATGACCGGGGGTAACAAATAAATGTACCGGTAGGGATAACAAACAATTAATGTCCGGACAACAAGTAAACGTAGAACTGACCATGCTAGTAGTTGTTAAGAAACTTGCGACAAACCAGTAGTCACGTATCGCGTTGTTGATACCAGTTAAATAACCGAAAGGTCAGTAGAGGTCAGTAGAGGTCTGTGGGATTGGCTAAAGCAAAACGGACATATACATGTTTTTAATTGTTGGAACATGACAAAAAAATATTTTGCCAAGACATATTTCAGGATATCACTTTCTGTAGTACATATTTGTATTATTTCGAATAGAGTGAAAAAGAAAAATGAATAAATAAATACATAAATTAAAACGTAAAACTTGTCAACATCGATCTAGTACCTGGTACTTTCCAAAATGGCCGTTCTAATTCCGTTGTGTGCAGAATGTGGTTAAAAACTGACTCATAATACTTTACCCAGTATTGTGATAACTCATTGTCCAATGTATTTATTGAAGTCGGGGATCGTTGTTATTCCATTTGTAGTTGTTTTATGTATCGACGGTTACGATTGATTGATATCTTTCCAAGACAAATATACAGAAACAGTATGAATGGATAATGAAAAACATAACTCAAAAGTTACTGGTAATGAAACTGATACCGTGAGTTATCAACGTGCAAATAACATTATACCGTTGTGGTGGTTCATAAGTCAGTAATTCGACCTCTTCAATGATAGATACTACATTGTAACATAACGTTTGATTATATTCGCCATCGCTTATGAAACACACAATTTATCCATGGAAATAAATGTAGTACGATGTTTTATTAAAATAACATTTATTTTTATTGACAGGTGAAAAAATGTTCCGATTTAACATACTAGTCGGAACATATATAGTATTTAATATAATTGAGCCATACATGTAAAATTTTCTAAAGCTTGAAGTGACTCTACATGTGAACACTTTATCATTTCTCTCCTTTTATGCTAAATTCATGTAAATTTATACATATTGGCAATGATGCTATTTACACTGTATCGTCAATTGAGCTTCCAGTGATGTCAACACCAACCAATATGATATCAATACAATACAGTACAATGCAAACTTAAAAGCCAAAAATAAATCACGACAACCAATTTTATGGTCAGTAAGATACCACATTAGTCATGCAACTAAGTACTTAATAGTTTGTAAGATGCCGTACAGGTAATGTAACACAGTACAACATTTATCTTAACAATGAGATACTATACCCGTCATAAAACACAGTACAGTATTTATCTTAACAATGAGATACTATATTCGTCATAAAATAAAGTACGGTACTAATCTTAACAGTGAGATATTATACTCGTCATATAACACAGTACTGGCTTTATCTTAACAATAAGATACTATATTCGTCATAAAACACAGTACAGTATTAATCTTCATGGGACATCGTACTAGCCACATAACACAGTACAGTGTTAATAGAAATGGGACATCGTACTAGCCACGTAACACAGTACAGTGTTAATCTTAATGAGAAATCGTACTAGCCATGTAACACAGTACAGCGTTAATGTTCATGGGACATCGTATTAGCCACGTAACACATAACAGTGCTAATCTTAATGGGACATCGTAATAGCCACGTAACACAGTACAGTGGTAATCTTAATGGGACATCGTACTAGCCATGTAACACAGTACAGTGTTAATCTTCATTGGACATCGTACTAGCCACGTAACACAGTACAGTGTTAATCTTCATGGGACATCGTACTAGCCATGTAACACAGTACAGTGTTAATCATCATGGGACATCGTACTAGCCATGTAACACAGTACAGTGTTAATCTGAATGAGAAATCGTACTAGCCACGTAACACAGTACAGTGTTAATCTTAATGGGACATCGTACTTACCACGTAACACAGTACAGTGTTAATCTTCATGGGACATCGTACTAACCACGTAACACAGTACAGTGTTAATCTTAATGAGAAATCGTACTAGCCATGTAACACAGTACAGTATTAATCTGAATGGGACATCGTACTAACCACGTAACACAGTACAGTGTTAATCTTAATGGGACATCGTACTACCCACGTAACACAGTACAGTGTTAATCTTCATATGACATCGTACTAGCCATGTAAAACAGTACAGGGTTAATCTTAATGAGAAATCGAACTAGCCATGTTACACATTGCAGTGTTAATCTTAATGACGACTAGTTTTATAATAAAAAAACTTGTCAGATATACCACAGAGTGGACATCGTACTAACCACGTAACACAGTACAGTGTTAATTTTAATGAGAAATCGTACTAGCCATGTAACACAGTACAGTGTTAATCTTAATGGGACATCGTACTAACCACGTAACACAGTACAGTGTTAATCTTCATATGACATCGTACTAGCCATGTAAAACAGTACAGGGTTAATCTTAATGAGAAATCGAACTAGCCATGTAACACAGTGCAGTGTTAATCTTAATGAGAAGTCGTACTAGCCATGTAACACAGTACAGTGTTAATCTTCATTGGACATCGTACTAGCCATGTAACACATTACAGTGTTAATCTCAATGAGAAATCGTACTAGCCATGTAACACAGTACATTGTTAATAGAAATGGGACATCGTACTAGCCACGTAGCACAGTACAGTGTTAATCTTAATGAGAAATCGTACTAGCCATGTAACACAGTACAGCGTTAATCTTCATGGGACATCGTACTAGCCACGTAACACAGTACAGTGCTAATCTTAATGGGACATCGTAATAGCCACGTAACACAGTACAGTGGTAATCTTCATGGGACATCGTACTAGCCATGTAACACAGAACAGTATTAATCCTAATGAGACATCGTATTAGCCACATAACACAGTACTGTAGTAATCTAAACAGAAAATGTCATATAATAATAGTCATATACAACAATAAAATATATCAGTATAAACAGTCAATTAAATATATCATGCATGTCAAGAAACAAGGTTAAAAATTATATTCCATAATTAATCAGATAACATACTAGTCAAAATTACGCAAAAACATTAAACATGTAAAAATTTAGTCGCTGAGTTTATATTCAAACCTGTGACCACATACTTATTTATCCAAAAAAGAGAGTTTAATGAGTAGAAATATCAATGCTTATGTAATTTTCAGTAGATCAAAGGTACATGTGTTTTGAAGTATCCACCTTGTAGTTATGCTATTAGAAGGTAAACAAAGAATATTGTCATCAAACTCGTGATGTTGGTATGGACTGAGGATGCAGCGTCAGCGAGGGGCGGTGGTGGAGTTGTTGTCATGGTGTTCGGCCAGTTCCCACACCGAGGGAAGTTTTCAGGAGCGGGAGGGATCTGGTCGAGCTCGCCGACCTGAAGCACAAACCCCATTCCAATGGCGGCGTGGAATTCAATGTGACAATGCATGAACCAGAAACCTGAAATGAATAATTTTAAGAGTGACTAAGATGAACGACTTCAAATATCATTTACATGACAGGACGACGATTACGGTTAGGTAGATATACAGTATATCACATGAGTGTCCATTTCAAATTAAATTAATTAAACAAGCTTGATAAATTGAATGTGAAATGAACACAAATGTAAGCTTCCTTTTATCACATAACATTCACAATTGGAAAGAAAAATCAAGCACAGCTGACTCTATAAAGATCAACCAAAGTACCATGATCATAATATTGTCGTTCCACGCAGTGTGAAGTAGTTACATAAATATTTATTTTTAATAATGAGAATTTTTCAATTCAATGAAAATAATAATGACAATATACATTTTAAATTTATTTTATAACAAAAAAATGTTATTCTTTTTACTTAAAGTAGTACCTGTAGTGGAGTAGGAATATGTAGGAAAGAATCATCATAAATGTATTTGAGATACTTTGTAGTTTTCTGAATTATGAGGATTGTGTTTTTGTGTCTACATCACACTGTTTTGATTGATTATACTCTAAGATATGTGAGCTGGAAATACTGATGACAAAGTTTGCTGACCTGAAAAAAAGCAGGGAATTCCGTAAATAGCATCGAAAATATGCAGTGATTTTGTTTTATTATCGGGTTAAGTATATAATAAAGATACACTTTTATCACTTCGCAACACTTTTACATGCCTATCAGGTTGTTATTAAACATCAATTTAAGCGATTTCTACATGTACCTGGATTGTCGGCATGGATACGGAGGATGACATATCCTCCATCAGGGACGGTCACCGTGTCCTTATCAACTGGTGACGTAAGATTCCTCATCAGTTTTCCTTCATTGTCCAGCTTCGTAACTTCCTGAAGGGTGGTGGACTTATTTAGCTGTAAATACAACAATACCACCCTTATTGTCATCATTTTATATCATAATAAAGGAAATAATGAATTTACTTTCAAAGGTTAAAAGCTTTTAAAATGAAATGAAAAAAATATTAATAATTGAACCTGCTATCAATTGTTTTATAAATGATACACAGTCTGTTTTCATTTGTTCTTATTCAAAGATGCACGTAACACACACACAAGAGAGTGCACCATTAGCAAAGCAAAAAGCTGTAGTTTTATTAAGTTATTCCATAAAGCAAATAAATAAACACCATTTCTAGTTGATATGTTCCATCATTGTTGTTTTACAAAATATTTATTCTCATACAAATCACATGTGTGACCGAGAAATATGGTATATGTAGTACAATCCAGCAGATAGTTAACGTTACGTGGGGGAATATTTTATGTACTCTATTGGCAGTGGCCATCAAGGTGAAGACGACGATTACGTTTAGTTTGATCTCTCGGTATAATACCATAAGTCTTCTTTGATATATCTAAACCATCTATAACGTCTTTTGTGGTGTGGCCGATTAAGAGGGTTTACAATCTGTACGATATGTCTATACATACCCTGTCCATTCCTATAACTCTAAATTTGTGACCGTGAAGATGCATGGGATGATTGGCATCCCAAATTTTCCCTTCATCTATGATGACGAGTTCAACCGTGTCATTAAGGTCCACCCTGAGAGTGTGAATACACTCACAATATTCCTGGGAACAATTTCTTTGTACGGTGTCAGCATTACAGAACATCTCCTACAAACATCGTAAACATGTTAATATCCATAAGCTACGGTTCATTCACATGTCAACAACCTGTTTACAAAGCCACTTCACCTAAGTGTACTTAGACATACATTATGACAAAGTAAACAGGATTTATGTTCGTGCACTTAACTTAGATGGTAATTGTACAAGGTGTCCGGATGATTGACCAAGTAAATGGTCTTTGATAAATGTAAACGAATAAGGTTTAGATTTTTTTTTATAAAATCGTGTCGGTATCGATAATAGTCGCTATTAAAACGAATAGAGACTGTTAATAAATCACATTATAATTGTTAACAAACTTTCTTAGTTTTCAATTAAACGTTCCGCAGGTGATCTGCATCAAGCTCTCGATTTTTACAAAATTAAGAGAGTTTAATGTTTTCTGTATCCGTTCAATCACCGTTATATGATAAAAGATATTTTAATTTAAGTCGAAAAGAGAATATTATCTGTTACGTCCTTCACGTTACAGATATGTTATATGTTAAAAACACATATATGCTAGAAATGATATTACCGGATTGTTATATGCTAGTGTTATTCTATCACCTATCAAATTGTTACAAAGTAAAAGATGTATCATGTTAAAGCAAAGTCCTCTTTAAGACAACCAGAAGCGAAAACATATCCTGGCTTTCGATGGCAACGTTCGTCAATCGCTGTAGATACCAATTGCATGTTTAACCAAACACGGTAATGGAATTATCTTTATATGACCAAAGAAGATATCCATGTATGCATTTTATTATAAAACATCACTTAACAGATTCCACACTCATTTGTACTTTTTTAAATATCGATATAATCAATCTGAACAACTCAAGCAGCTACCGTGTACCTGTGGTATGTCGTGGAACTGCGAGAGAGGAGGGGATGGCGGTAGTATGTTGCTAATGTAATTGATTTGTGGTGACAATAGGTGGTTGTACGCCTCCACTACAGTAGAAGGGGACACATATTCAGGCCCGACGTAAAAGTTGAAGTTGTCAATGTTGTTGAAATCCATGGCGAGATAAAACTTTTTGTCTGGTATTTCCTGAAGTGCTTTATTGGACGGACGCAAATTCTCGAGATACGTTACCGGTACAAGCATATCTGTCGCTTTCTTATTCCAAGGATTGAGTTTCTGTAAGAAATGATCAGTGAACAAAACATGATAAACAAAGGACAGAGATACTGAATGTTTTTGGTAACTTAATGTTGATATACATAAAAATATGATGCTTGTACCTCATCACTCCAAAATGTAGTATTACGATATTTTTATAGGAAACAGTTGTTGTTGATTACCTACTGTATATTGTAAATAACAAAGTTTGCATAATTATTGCCTTAGAAAGATGACGTTGGACACATACAAACATTTGATGTTGTTTTGTCCCATCTGTCAGGAAATGCTACTTTATGTTAATGATCTAAGCAGTTGTGATTCATCTGAAAGTTTCATAGTAAAACAGTATAATCAAAATTGAAATTTAAAACATATTTGCTAAATATGTTCACTTGAACAAATGGATATTAGTTTTCATAGTTGAAATATATATAATGCATTTTGTTTCAATGAGCAATGAACTCATCCATGATTAACAAAATGTCGCACCTTTCCTTCACGAGCTCCAAACTGATGGCCTGTTGGGAGATCTGGAAGCTCCTCGGCAGATCCGTTGTACCTAAGGATGGCTTGCTGGTACGCATTCTTTACAGCACAATCGGCCTGTCCCCGTGCCCTAACCCAATAATTGCCCACCTCCTGGTCAGCCAGAATAACCACGTCATACCTCTCACCGGCGAATATGTTGATAGTTTCAACGTCTATGTGATTAAAAGGATTTCCATCGCTGCTGATAACGCGGAGTGTATGATTGTCAATTGATAACTGGATTGGGCAGTTAAATATGCCATTGCTTATAATCCGGAATCTGTAACGACGTCCGCGCTCAACATTAAACACTTCGTGTGGTGTTGTGATATTTTTGTTTTGTTCATTGTCGTAGAAAACACGATGAGCTCCCCTGCCTGGAAGCAGTCAATATCACAGTAAAATATTAGACGAATGAACCATATTGCTTCATCGAAAAATAAGTCTTATTTAAGAAAGGATGAAAACCGAAACAAGAGAAAATATATAATTAACAAATAAAATTAAAATACACCCTATAATCCCCTAATATGAAAGGGAAAAATAATATTAAAGTTTTTCCGTGAATCGCGTTTTATATAATTTAAACCGAATTGAAGTAGCATAAGGTTTCTTCCTCGTTTCATAATCAATGATTTTGAAACAAACGTAATAGTTTGCATTTTAAATAAAACGTAAAATTTCGCTATCTTTATAACAAAACTATATACAACAAACAATTCCGTGACGTTTACAGTGCTTTTCATGACATATGGAAATATATAAAAAATTGTTAGGTTAAATTCAATTGATATGATGTAAAGTCCGTTACATTCAACAGATCATACGGGAAATATTACCATTGATGAGCATCGAAGCCGGTTTATTATCTCCGTTAGCTTGATGATGATTGGCAAACCGATCCAGAGTTAGTTCCATTAACCAATCGTTCACGAGCATAGTATGTTCGGGGAGGTCGTAGTCATAGAGACCGTGATGGAACTCGCGTTCTGCGGCTTGTCGAACAACAAAGGCTCCAAAGATTCCATCAGAGCGATGCAGTCCAGAGTGTCCGTGCCAAAAGTGGGTGCCTGGATCTCTGACTTTAAACCTGAATATCAGAAAATTTACTATATTAGGACATTGATGAGTAATGACAGCTTATAAAGTATGCCATTCATATTTTACGCACGATTATTTTGAAATGTTACAAAGTCATACATATCTCGTCGACAAATGGACCCTGAAGTGAATATACAATACAAAACTGTAATTATATATCTAAACCGTCTGTTCCCACAAATATTTTACAATCTGTAAAAAGACAACTTTTTTGACTGACCTACCTGTATTGGAATGAAGAAAAGGAATGTATGGGGCACTGAGTTAGCATACCAACACCGTCCATATGTGGAGAGTTGTGCTGTAGGATCCCATGCCAATGAATTGACATACCTACTCCACTCATTTTGTTATGGACGTTAACAATAACGGTGTCTCCCTCACAAACCTAGGAAATAATACGGAGTTCAGTAAAACATTGATATAAAAAAGGTAAGGAGCATACTTAGAGACTTAACAACAAACACAGTTCCTGATATTATTTGTGGACATACGGATCAACTAAAGGGCCCGTATTAATGATTTTTTTCTCATGCTCAAGCATTGATTTTGTGCTCAAAGCCTTGTTCTTGTTCCACTTAAACATCATTAAATAAATCTTACTTTGTCAATGATCTGAAAACAAATGTGAAAAAACTCTTAGTCGAATACTATTTTCATTGTTTACAATTTACTTTTTGATCGTTTGACATGATTTAAGTGACTTACAAGAAAACTGGTTTGAGCACAGAATCCTTGCTTGAGCATGAGAACGGTTTCATGAATACGGACCCAGGTCGCTTTTCCCAATTCGTGGGAAATCTCGACTTTTCATCGAGTGCGCTATGATGTTTGTTATAACAATTGTAAAACATTTTAGAGTGTAAACTAGTGTATCTAAATACCCGCTTTGAGGCGATATTATCAACCATAAACATATAATTGACACTGTCTTACGTGTATGCCTGGTCCAGGCAACATTCTGTTAATAACAAAGACTGCCCGGGAGTTACCGTCGGCCGGAATACAGCCAGATCTGTAGCAGTCTGTAACGTTGTAGGGGCAGTCCCGACAGGCTTTGGTGAGAGTGTAGAAATACTCAGCTTGGAAATCATACTTGCAGTCCATGGGCGCGTTTACTTCACATTTTCGTATACAGGGGTGCTCACGGTAATCTAAAACAAGCAGATTCAAATGTAGGCTCGTATGGACCAAGAACTTGAAGTGCACGTAATATATAATAACTTAACATATAAAGTTAAAATATACAAGGGGTGTTACGGCACCTCTGCACCGGGTGAAAGACATATTGCCCGTTGCCATGAGTACGAACACTGATTTTGATTTTGGGGAATTGTGGTAAATTAAGGCTTGTTTATTTAGAAACTAATGCGTAAACTTTTTCAAACTGCAAACTTGTTCGAACTTCAATTTTTAGCTCACCTGGTACGAAGGACCATGGTGAGCTTGTGCCATACCGCAGCGTCCGTCGTCCGTCCGTCCTTCAACTTTTCCTTTAAAATGCTACTAGTCCTGAACGACCCTGTAGATTTGAACTAAATTAGATCTGGGGCATTCGTAGGCCAAGGAAACTCATTTTTGTTATATAAACAGTTGGTGTGGCTCCCTTGGGGTAGAAAAGCGGGGCCAAATAGGGGAAATAAAGGTAAAACCTTTCAAATCCTTCTTTTGCAATAGAGAATATGCGATTTCATCCCAATTTGGTCTGATACATCCTTTGGCCAAGGGCACTGAATTTTCTTAAATGGTTGGTTTGGACTCCCTGTGGGCAGAGGTGCGGGGGACAATAGGGGCAACAGAAGTAAAACCTTTGAAATCCTTCTTTTACCGTAGGGAAGAAGGGATTTCAACCTTATGTAGTCTGGAGCATGATTGGGCCAAGGGGATTCAATGTTGTATAAACGGTGGGTGTGCCCCGCCCATCTGCCCCCAGGGAGGGGGGAGGGGAGGGGGCACACCCACCGTTTATACAAAATTGAATCCCCTTGGCCAAATAGGGGAAATAGAGATAAAACCTTTGAAATCCTTCTTCGATCATAGGGATTAAGGGATTTCATCCCAATTTGGTTTGGAGCATCCTTGGGCCAAGTGCACTCAATTTTGTATAAACATTGGATGTGGCCCCTAGGGGCAGAGGGGTGGGGCCTCATAGGGGAAATAGAAGTAAACATTTAAAATCTTCCTTCTACCACAGGGATTTAGGGATTTCGTCCCAACTTAGCCTGGAGCATCCTTGGGCCAAGGGGACTACATCTTGTTAAAATGGTGGGTTTGAAACCCCTGGGTGGAGAGGAGCGAGCCCTATTAAGGTAAATAGAGGTTAAACCTTTACAATCCTGCTTCTACCGTAGGTATAAGTTTTTTTATCCTAATTTGGTCTGGAGCATCCTTGGGCAAAGGGGTCTTACTTTTTAACACTGATTTAATGTATACGCATGCGTGGTTGAACATAGGGATACAAGAATTATAGTAATAGATGTGTACTGCAGTTACATATAATACATAATTTATATTCCATGTTAAGTTACCGAACATATCTAAATCATGGCCTATCATTTGCTGTCATTTCATGCTATACCAATTTCTGTTCTGATTTATGGACCACAATAACAGTTGTTTAATTGAATATTTTAATCGTGTTCTTGAAGATAGGGGGAAAAAGCCAACGTCTTCCGCAACATGGCTGCTGCAGACTGGCTTCTGATTAGTCGAAATTTATGCATTGTCCAATATCCCTTTGTAAAAGTGTGTAGTGTCATTTCGAACACTACTTCGATCTGCGTTGATTTTTTTTATTTAATAAAATGTCCCTGTTAGGTGGAGTCCTGATTGGTAGACATTTAGATATTGACCGATGTTATAGATTTGGTATGTAGATGTAGTATGTAGGGTTATCAACGGTTAACCGGTTAACCGGTTACTCGGGCTAAATGCCACGAACCGGTTACAAAAATCCTTAACCGAAAAATCGGTCATTCACTTACCCCTTTTGGGAGTCACATGTTTCCCTGGCTTAGACCTACAAACTAATTGCATTTGTATAGATGCGACCAAAATTGTATAGTTTTGTAATAAAAGCAGTCTTCATGGATTACATGTTAGTGTTAATTTTGTACTCTAATTTAAATACTGAAAAAGAGATGTCGCCAACATCATAAAAACATCTGAACAGATTTTTAGAAGGAAGCCAGAATACAAAGTTGTGAAATATCAACTTTCTGAGATAGAACGAGCCTTTACAAGCGAGATGTAAAGATAATCTGAAGAGTACACACTTGAATGACGTTTGTCAAACAAATTTTGTTCTAAAGAATAATATTACCGCATATGAGTTCGAGTACAGATACAGATAATCCGTCTTACTGCATTCCAACATTTGTTTTCCATGTACTAACTGAGGTTACATGTAACTATTTCCTGTGTTAACCTTGAAATACACGAGTAAAATATCATGCTTATTAATATATACATGTATATTTGTGGTGTAAATACGTTTTAGATAGAACATTTTCCAAAAATATAATGTATTTGTTTTTGTTTATTATTTGACTACCAAATTGACCGACTAACCGATTACTCTATTGGTAGAAGAGTAACCGGTTACAAAAATAAGACCGGTTTGACTACCCTAGTATTATGGCATTGCGATCATTTTCTGATGCATCACTTGCGACTACTGGGTTAGCTTAGGTACCTTATGGTGTAACGGTTCCTGTTACGAGTAGATATTGTTATACTTTATAATAAAAAAAGGAAATGTATGTTCCCTTTTTTCACATCTGCTTTAGTAAGTTCATATTGTGTAAAAAGTCGTGTCCTTTGTTAAATATGACTTGCACAATATTTCATATACGGTATATCTCGCGCAAATTGTATTTTGAAAACATCTGCAAAGAGCCTAAAATGCAGACATGAAGAGGTGAGTTTTGATGTCTTCTGGAATTTGGCCAGGGTATTTGACTTTCCTATAGCAGATGGTAAGCTATTCTACAACATGGCCGAAACCCTCCCAAAGCATCGGTTTCCATAGGTCACAGTACGAGGCCGCAGTGATCGTGGCGGCTGATACTGGATAACAATCTCATGTAGGTTCTTGGAAGCTGTTCTATTCAGTGGATTGTATGTGTACACCAAACTTTTGTACTGCGGCCTGTATCGTAGAGGTTACCAGTGCAATGAATATAGCACAAGTGTGATGTTCTCTCTCTTTCAAGTACGAGTAACCAGCTGTGCTGCAGTGTTCTGGACCCTCTGCAGACGACTAGTTAGTTTGTCAGATATACCACAGAGCAGGGCGTTACCATAATCCAACCGGGAGGTAACAAGTGAATGCACCGACATATTGCATGCATCTGCAATTATAAACTGATGGATACAGCCGATGTTCTTGATCTGGTAGTAACAGGATATGGCAATAGCGTTCACTTGTTTCTCCATGTTCAGTGAACCATCAATGTATCCCCCGAAGTTTTTAACAGCTGGGACATGTACAGTCTCAATAGTTCTGGCACCGACATCGAGCTGGAGAGCCATTTTTGATGACACTTTGCGAGGAGACGATTAGTTCCGTCTTTTCCTGATTAAGCTTTCAGATGTTGTGGGTATCCCAACTGTCCTGTGGTTTGATGACCATGTATATGTGTGTGTCATCAGCATGGCAATGATAGCGAAGACTATGGCGACGACAAATCTCTCCGATCGGATTGTAGTACATGCAATATTGTCGTGGTCCTTGAGGAACCCCGATATCTTGTACTTTGTCATGTGAGTTGGTAGATCCGATGGCAATACACTGTCGTCGTTCACTCAGATAAGACTATATCCATCATAGTGCGGTATCAGTAACTCAATAAGAGTACTCCAGACGTGTATGAAGTATGCCATGGTCAGTGACGTCAAATGCAGCTGACAAATCCAGCATGACAAGCACCGCTCTGCACTTGTTATCCAATGAAGTAGCTATGCCATTATGTACATGTAGGAGGGCCGTCTCAGTAGTGTCCCATGCGGTAGGCCGATTGCAGGTTGTCATGGAGACTGTTTTCATGGAGATGAAACTCTAAACGCCGGGACACAACCTTCTCCAAGATCTAAGACAGAAAAGGCAGATTTTATACTAGGCGGTAGTTATTCAACTCCTCCTTGTTCTCCAGGCTTCTTCAATAATGGTCTCACAAGTGCCTTCTTGAAACACAATGGAACCTTTGACTCAGCCAATGATTTGTTCATGATTGAGGTAATCAAGGGAAGCAGTGCTTCAAGACATTGATTTAATAGGTCTGTAGGCAGTGGATCAGACTCACGGGACTTCGATTGCGAGGTCATGATGAAATTGCGCAACTCGTCCTGGGCTGTTGGTGAGAGCTTGGTCAATGGTTCCCCATCAAATTTAATGTCAGCAGTCATGACAGAGATATCATTGTCAGCAGTAGAGTTCACTTCCGATAATTTCAGAATTACAGCTTGGTAAGATAATTTCACCTTTCTGACCCATTAGGTTTTTGGTGAGTCTGAAACGCTGTCTACGGTCCTTACCACAATATTCAATTCTTTCAGGTGAAATAAGCATTCTTTGACTGATTGAGAAGTGAACCAACAAGTTGACATTGTCTCTTTAAATCTGTTGGTGAAAGGTTAATTTGGTCCTTTGCCACTGTCTCTCTGCTTTTCTACGGTTCTGTTTTTCGACGCGGAGATTTTCATTATACCACGGGTCATTCGGGCACCGGGCGACAGTTTAAGGACAATACATTCAGAGGGAATAACTGACTTACAGTGACCAGCTGTTGTTTGCCTGATGACATGTAGATTCTTGTACGATACTGATGATGTCGGAATCTGTGTTGAAGTATCGTAACGGATCAGTCTAGGTGAACCGGATTGCATTTGAATGTGTTTAAGAAGGTGCGTGCACGTGCATTGTATGAATCGGGCAACAGTATGTTTTCATCGTCTAATTGAATCTGTGGAGATTTTTTAAGACTTCTGTTGGGTTTTTCAAAAGTAAATGAATAAATTGTAGATTTATAAACTTCTTTTTACTAAGCAAATGGCGGCCTCGCTTCAAGATAAATTAGTGGCAGACATTAATAAACCATTTTTTTTATTATAGCTTTAACGGGCCACCGTAAATGTCTACCGGTTTGTCGACTTACTGAATCTATGTGCACAAAATATATATGGTATGATTAAAAAATAAGGTTCACTTTATCATAACAAAGAATATCGGATTTTGTTTGCATCTGATTTGCAGCTAAAGCATTCCAGTGCATAAATAGTTTAAAACATATTCACTTGAGATTAGAAAGCTGGTGGCCTTCAACAAGGTGACAGACATTACGACAGGTATCACATAATATGATGTAAAGTGCGTTTAACTTTCCGCAACACCTATCACAGTCTCAGTATTTTTTTCACGCTGGTTTGTGTATATGTCTCTTCTCGGATCCGGTTGTGGTCTTTTTATTTAGTTTCAAGTTACTTTGTTTTACTGTATATCAAATATTTTTACTCACCTGCCTCGAAATGTCTGTAATGATATGTTGTGGTATCGTACGTCAGTAGTCTATCAACTAGTTGTATGTACCACCTGTGCCAAGTAGTCTTAATATTTGACCAGCAGATACCTTGAACGGTTGCGGTTCACTTGACTTACTTTTAAGGTAACTGTGGTCTGACATGTTAAACGTTTCAAACAACATTATATAACAAAAGCACTTGTACAAAACACTTATGCTATAAAGACGAACAGAGCATTTATTTATATGGGTTTGGGTTTAGATCGTCTTTCCGTAAAAAGCGATAAATTATATAATAATATACGAATAAATAGATTGATAGATAAATCAATTAATAAATATTAGGCATGTTGTACATTGAACTACTACTCTTTTGAAATCATGTCATCTATAACATGTAAACTAAGGCAAGTTTTAAGACACCACGGACAAAATCCATCCCTAATTGAGAGATGGGGTGAGAAATCGTGCCGGGTGAGAAAACGTGTCACCTATGCCCTTATGTTTTTGCACGATTTTTCACCCGGGTGAGAATTCGTGCAGGGGTGAGAAATCGTGTTGCGAACGCAGCATTTTTAGCACAATGTCTCACCCGGGTGAGACATCGTGTCTGGTTGAGAAATCGCGCCGTAACAAGGGGTCCAAGGATTTCATATTGCTATACATATATCTAATGAAACCAAACATCTCTTGAATCAAATTTCAATGTGACTTTCTTTAATGTCAAAACATATAATCAACAAACTGTTTCAAATTCAAAATGACAAAAATAGCCATTTCCTTATTTATTTTATCATTTAAAAGTATAAACATGTGACATAAAACGTTGTAAATTAGAAGGTAATTTGAATTATACGTTAAGCACATATATAAGTCGTTAGGGATGCCCGGAGAAACTGCAGGAACCGTCGTAAGTCCTAACTGAGAGTTAATCAGTCCTCGGGCAGTCCATAACTGAATGTACCGAAGCGGATTGAAAGCCCGTCATCCATACATAATGCATATTGGATCACCGTTGACAACTTGCGTCATCAGCATTAACAAAACAGATATGTATTGAATGGGTGGAGGCGTGTGGTATTCTCGGTATATTTTATATAGGGTCAGAAAACGACAGCGCATAGACCGTTGGAAAGTGTGAGACCGGGTCGTGTAACTGCCGCGCTTTTTCCGGGGCACTAACGATTTATGGGAATAGCCGTGACAGAACTTCACAGACCTATACCATATAGAAGTTTCATCTCCATCACGAAAATGCGAGATCATATGCAGGGATTTTTTTTGAGCGATCAGCAACGTCGTGCCATTAAACAAGCATATTTACAGTCCCAATGCACCCAAACAAACGCATGTGTGATGAACTGAATTCAAGACTTCGTAATCGTCTAATATATATTTCAAATGACACCGAACAACTAGTACTGTCGTTGGTGATGGTTGATCAAGGAACAACATTCCAATAGGACACTCTATGGTCTAAAATATTTCACGCAGAAACGATTACGGGCAGCCATGAATTCATATAAGGAACACACCAGATATTGGTAGCCCAATTACGATTTTGATGATAGGAGGAATCGCGTGCGCCGCTGTGATTTTTGTATAAACTAAGTTTTTGAATCACACCTCCCTCAACTGCGACCTGTATATGAATATTTTTCTCTTTAAATATCAATTTATTTCATATGCATATATTTTGTAAATTCATCGCGATAAAGGTAGCGTTTCTTTCATTTGTACAAGGATAACAATAGACAAAGCCAATTTAACTTACGTTTCACCGGGATCAGGCCTTCCGAGATACTGTCCTGGATACTAAGCATCAACAGTAGGATCACCTGGGTAATCATGGCCTCGTTATCTACAAATAATGGGTAAAACGAGCATTACTACGTAAAATATCTAATATACAATGTACCAAATACATGAATACAAATATTAAAGGGTGGTAGGGTGATGTAGTTAATAGTGCACTCGCCTTTAAGTAAGAAGACCGGGCTTTGATTCCTTGATCGGACGTGAAAAGTTTTTGGCCACCTGGTGGAACGCGTACAATTGCCGTTTTAAGCGTGAAATATATTCTGGACTGGCAGGTGATCATCCCAGGCGACTTCCTGGCCAAGTAGCTAAATTGACGGTTTCTTTGGTATCTCCATTATACATGTGCATAAGTGGTCTTAACTAAAACAAGAGGTGTATGTATTAGGGTGAACTGTTTCCTGTAGGAATGAAAGTTAAACATGACGTGCTCGAGAGACTTAAAAAGAATCTTTTCTCCTGTGTCTAGTTAGCAAGCAAACCCGACTATACTATCTAAATAATGGTCTCACACGATAATTGTTAAATTGCACCATCCATGCATCGCAAATATTTGTTAAATGTTTTTGACATATTACATAAGAAATAATGCTGTGTTTGAGGAATGTTTCATTTGTATATTTTCTCCCCTATTACTATTAATTATGATATTTATGATATTCGTTGATACTTCAGTATTCTCTAGTTTGTTTTTAATTAAAATACACTCACGATGGCTTTCATATCTTGTTTTTTTTTTTTATTAAAATACACTCACGATGGCGTTTATATCTTATTTGTTTTTGATTAAAATACACTCACAATGGCGTTCATATCTTGTTTGTTTTGCAATTAAAATACACTCCGATGGCGTTCATATCGTGTTTGTTTTTAATTGAAATACACTCACGATGGCGTTCATATCTTGATAGTTTTTAATTGAAATACACTCAGGATGGCGTATATATCTTGTTTGTTTCTAATTTAAATAAACTCACGATGGCGTTCATATATTGTTTGTTTTTAATTTAAATAAACTCCCGATGGCGTTCATACAGTATCTTGTTTGTTATTGATTTAAATACACTCACGATGGCGTACATATCTTGTTTGTTCTGCAATTAAAATACACTCCGATGGCGTTCATATCTTGTTTGTTTTTAATTGAAATACACTCACGATGGCGTTCATATCTTATTTGTTTTTGATTAAAATACACTCACGATGGCGTTTATATCTTGTTTGTTTTTTGATTAAATACACTCAGAATGGCGTTCATATCTTGTTTGTTTTGCATTTAAAACACACTCCGATGGCGTTCATATCGTGTTTTTTTTTAATTGAAATACACTCACGATGGCGTGTTTTTAATTTAAATACACTCACGATGGCGTTTATATCTTGTTTGTTGTTTGATTAAATACACTCACAATGGCGTTCATATCTTGCTTGTTTTGCAATTAAAATACACTCCGATGGCGTTCATATCTTGTTTGTTTTGCAATTAAAACACACTCCGATGGCGTTCTTATCGTGTTTGTTTTTAATTGAAATACACTCACGATGGCGTTCATATCTTATTTGTTTTTGATTAAAATACACTCACAATGGCGTTCATATCTTGTTTGTTTTGCATTTAAAACACACTCCGATGGCGTTCATATCGTGTTGGTTTTTAATTGAAATACACTCACGATGGCGTTCATATCTTCTTTGTTTTTGATTAAAATACACTCACGATGGCGTTTATATCTTGTTTGTTGTTTGATTAAATACACTCACAATGGCGTTCATATCCTGTTTGTTTTGCAATTAAAATACACTCCGATCTTGTTTGTTATTGATTGAAATACACTCACGATGGCGTACATATCTTGTTTGTTCTGCAATTAAAATACACTCCGATGGCGTTCATATCTTGTTTGTTTTTAATTGAAATACACTCACGATGGCGTTCATATCTTCTTTGTTTTTGATTAAAATACACTCACGATGGCGTTTATATCTTATTTGTTTTTAATTTAAATAAACTCACGATGGCGTTCATACAGTATCTTGTTTGTTATTGATTGAAATACACTCACGATGGCGTTCATATCTTGATTGTTTTTAATTGAAATACACTCACGATGGCGTTCATATCTTATTTGTTTTTGATTAAAATACACTCACGATGGCGTTTATATCTTATTTGTTTTTGATTAAAATACACTCACAATGGCGTTCATATCTTGTTTGTTTTGCAATTAAAACACACTCCGATGGCGTTCATATCGTGTTTGTTTTTAATTGAAATACACTCACGATGGCGTGTTTTTAATTTAAATACACTCACGATGGGGTTCATATCTTGATTGTTTTTAATTGAAATACACTCACGATGGCGTATATATCTTGTTTGTTTCTAATTTAAATAAACTCACGATGGCGTTCATACAGTATCTTGTTTGTTATTGATAGAAATACACTCACGATGGCGTTCATATCTTGTTTGTTTTGCAATTTAAATACACTCACGATGGCGTTCATATCTTGATTGTTTTTAATTGAAATAAACTCACGATGGCGTATATATCTTGTTTGTTTCTAATTTAAATAAACTCACGATGGCGTTCATATATTGTTTGTTTTTAATTTAAATACACTCACGATGGCATTCATACATTATATTGTTTGTTATTGATTGAAATACACTCACGATGGCATTCATACAGTATCTTGTTTGTTATTGATTGAAATACACTCACGATGGCGTACATATCTTGTTTGTTTTGCAATTAAAATACACTCCGATGGCGTTCATATCGTGTTTGTTTTTAATTTAATACACTCACGATGGCGTTTATGTTTTGTTTGTTTATAATTTAAATACACTCACGATGGCGTTTATGTCTTGTTTGTTTTTAATTTAAATACACTCACATTGGCGTTTATATCTTGTTATTTTTTTAAATTTAAATACACTCACGATGGCGTTCACATCTTGTTTGAATAAATATACTGCAGTGTTGGGTATCGGATAAGTAGGTATGTTCCATGGTATCATCAAAATACAAAAACGTTGTGTAATATGTACTTAGTGGTGCGTTAAGTGTTTTACCTATTTATCTATGAATCTGTGTTAAGGCAAGCTGATTTAATAAGAAAGAACTTGAGATATGAAAAGAGGCTGTTCAGGACTAAATGGGGATAGAGACTTGTTGTTAGAAATGTATATATACTTAAACTAAACATATTTAAAAAGCCTATATAGCTTTATGAAACGTGCCAGTCTTTCCCTTCTTTTTTAACTTGATTGAGTCTCTTACAAGCCAAAATATAAAATTCGTAGTGAGTTTCATGAATCTCATACAAGATGGAAACGAAAGTATGATTTTGTTGATAGCATAACGAAGGTTTTTGAAGTATACATGAGTATTTTTCACACTTCTGCGACATCTGTGATGAAGAAAAATTGTCAAACTGTGACGTCTTGAGTTCATATACAAGTTAAGTTATTGTCGTTGTGACTCTGGTTAAAGAGTGGTTTTGTCAATTCTAAACCAGATTCGCTGGCGGATGGTAGTAACATGGTATGTTAATGAATGCTCTATATTTAGATAGTATGCCAAAGTGAAGTATTGAAGTGTGTGGACCAAGGTAACACCGCTATCATATTATCTCTACGATCGAATGGTGAATACAAATTCATGTGGCACAACAGGTTGTCTCGATACAGCGCGATGGCGGACCGGGCCGCCCAACACTCAACCATTAAGTAAAAATAGGTCACATTTGAAAAATATGTTATTAAGAGACAGTAATATTTTCATGTAACGTGAGTAAGTATATTTCAAAGACGGGATTCAATTACAGTTATATTTACTCGAAATCATATGCGGTAAAATCTGACCGACAAACGTTTTATTACATGCTTGCTCATTCAAGTGCGACTCTTAAGATTATATTAACATCTCACATGTTAAAGCGAGTTCTACCTCTAAAGGTTATAAGGTAAAAACATTTTTCATAACTTTGTGTTCTGGTTTCTCTTTAAAACCTGTTCAGTTTTTCATGGTTTTTGCGGCATCTCTTTGTCAATTTTTAGAATAAAATACAATAACAACATTAACATCTCAGCCTGAACACTGTTTTATTACAAAACATTCCCATTTCTGTCTCATCTTGAAAATCTGTAGGTCTAAGCCAGGGAATATTGGGCCCCCCCAAAGAGGTAAATAAACGTCCCACTATTCGGTTATTGATTTTGGTAACCGGTTCGAGTCTTCCGACCGGTTCACCGGCTAACCTTTGCCAACCCTAGTAATAATAGGTCAAATTCAAAACAAATCATATCAAGAGACAGTCATTGAATTCGTAATGTAAATGTATCTGCAACGAGATGAGCCCGGATAATATAAGTATGGTAAAAAAGTTCAAATACAGAGCATTTAACGTGATGTAATGTAGGCAGTGAAAGTAAAACAAAAAGGTGTACGAAAAAGGACAACTCAAAAGAATAAATAAACAACATCAGTAAAAAGAGTCTATATTAGAGTAAGACTGGAAACAAATGCGGATACAGAACAATAGTTACTCTGTATGTGGTCTTATAGGCGAAATTGAGATGCCAGTAACAGACGTCAAGGACAATGAAAACTGCAACGACGAAAAGATAGAGCATCAACGAGAAAACAGGAAAATATACTCAAAATCTAGATACTAACAGATTTTGAGTATATTTTCCTGCACTTCTTATATTAATATTTACTAACTAATCCGAATCTAGCTCTCTCTCATTCTCCCTCTCTCTCCCCTCTCTCTGTCTCTCTTCACCCCCCCCCCCCCCCCCCCTCTCTCTCTCTCTCTCTCTCTCTGTCTCTCTGTCTCTCTCTCTCTCTCTCTCTCAATTAAAGCAAATGTGAATATATATGTTATATGCCATCTTGATAATTTGTAGTAATATATTGTAGGGAAAGGGCTTAATATAAGTTGTAAAACTTGTGCCCAACTCCCATTGTATATAAATTACAATAAAATATGTTTAAATCAAATAAATCAACGAGAAAAAAACCCAAAGACGACATCAAAAACATAGAGAAACCAAACTAAAACAACAAAACAGTAACGATAACGAAGAAACCAGCGGGATGTTGGACATCAATTCAACAAGTATGTAAAAACAGTGCGTTAGGTTCCTATTTCCACGGCTTCTAGGTTTCTTTTTCAACGTTGAAAACTTACCCCGGTTCTATTTTCTACGGGGGTCCATTTTCAAAGTTACACCGGCAATAATACAGTACGATTGGGGTAAACAAATACCAAAGATGGAGATAATAAAGTGTCCGTTGACTAAACATTGAATTTGATAGTCACAATTCCTAAATATATACTTCTGTTGACATTATTGTTATAACTGAAAGGTAAGTGTTGGCCTAAAGGCATTAATGGCCAAATTGCTGCTATTGAAAGTGGACACAACTACTGGTACATATGTAATGGAAAGCGAAAGTAGATGCAGATGGAAAGAGTCTTGCTACAATTACATCCACGTAAAACGTGATGGAGATATACATGTAGATACATCTGATCACGTGGGTTACAGAGTGTATAATTATTACTATTATAACAAAAATATAACACTTCCGGTAGATATAGGAAAGCTGAAACGTATGTGTTCTGGCCACATGCGGGAAGTTCCGTTTTTAAAAAGGACGTGTCTTCTACTCCACAGCAATCTTATGTCTAATCGAGCATAATATTATATATATATATATATATGTATACATCTGTACCGTCGGGGGCGATGTACAATCTGAAGCGGTACGTCGTTTTTAAACTATACAAAGTCTAAACGATGGATATAAATAAAGATAGAACTTTATTACTACTATAAAATGTATAATACGACCAATTAAATAAGTCAAAAGTAAAATCGCTCATTCGGCATAAAACCTTACAAGGTAAGCGCGGGTAAATGAGGGAAGCCGACAGTGCTATATGGACCTATTAGCTAGGTAGGAATAACGGGATAAGCGAATCTTGAACTAATAATTATCTGTTTATCTGACACAGTTTCAGATGTAATAGGGGGTAATATTAATAATATACAATAAATCAAAGTACTCAAACCAATTTTATAAAACAAATAACACAGCGATGTTTTACCTAATAAAACATAGTATATACATAATGTAGATACATACACATAAAAGTAAAACACCAACTCCTAAGTATTCTCCCACAACCAACCCATCCCCCGCCCCTCACAACCATCACCAACCCTCTCCGGTCCATACATCTAGCACTCATACAGCCCATAAATCTATCGGCACATTTCTTTGATACCCATCACTTCTTTCAACCTCGAACCCCTCCAGCTCCAATCAATAACTAAATCATAACACTATCCCCCTCCCNACACTACAAATCATAAAATATCGGAACGATGAACAGAATTAAGTGAAAGCCAAGACGAGGTTTTTAAGAAAGAGGACATTGGCAACGTACAGTCAGCTATATTTTCAGTGACGAATGATGATGAGTGGATTATATTGAACGGACAACAAAAAACAGCACCTGCATGACTCTAACCACTAACCACTAACCACTAACGCACAGTCCGTCGGACGGAACTATAAAAGGTGTCCTGTGTGAGAACTGTCCAATCAGGCACGGAAACCTGACACAAAGGATAGGGTTAGATTTGTTTTCGGCCGATAGAAGTAGAATATCTTTATCAGACATTTAGAAGGAATTCAAAAATATATAAACCAAACAAAATTCATAGAATAGGCAGGGGCTGGTGTAGCTTGCGGCGGCTCAGTACCTCACGTCCGGTCCAGACTTGGTGATACTATACGACGAGTGTTAGGTTAAGGCATTATTAGGCAGATGAGCCGTCTTACAAAAACTAGACTTATACGGTAAATACATATAGGATAGACGGCTCCTTCTCTAACTTATCTAATCTAACCTGTCCCCCTCTTCTATCCCTTTAATCCATACTTTATCCCTTCTACTCATTTTCCTTTCTTTTCTTCGTCTGCTGGTAACCGAACTACTCGGTAGTGAAACGGACGTAAAACCTATCAATCAATCAATCAATCATTCATGAGATTGATACTGATCACAGTACGTAACCTCACCAAGATAACAACGGTAGATTTATATAGGAAGTTAACTAAAGCTAGTTAATATATATGCCCGAATAGTGTGTAAAGACAGACACCGTCAGCGGAGGGTGGTATGGGAGACGTGCATGTTGGCTATCACTACTTACAGTGATAGGAGGGTGGTCTGGGAGACGTGCACTTTGGCTATCACTACTTAAAGTGATAGGAGGGTGGTCTGGGAGACGTGCACGTTGGCTATCACTTCGTACAGTGATAGGAGGGTGGTCTGGGAGACGTGCCCGTTGGCTATCACTACGTACAGTGAAAGGAGGGGGGTCTGGGAGACGTGCACGTTGGCTATCACTACTAACAGTGATAGCAGGGTGGTCTGGGAGACGTGCACGTTGGTTTTCACTACGTACAGTGAAAGGAGGTTGGTCTGGGAGACGTGCACGTTGGCTATCACTACTTACTGTGATAGGAGGGTGGTCTGGGAGACGTGCACGTAGGCTATCACTACGTACAGTGATAGGAGGGTGGTCTGGGAGGCGTGCACGGTGGCTATCACTACTTACAGTGATAGGAGGGTGGTCTGGGAGGCGTGCACGGTGGCTATCACTACTTACAGTGATAGGAGGGTGGTCGGGGGAGCGGTGCTAGTGTAGGACACAGAGACGCGGTTGACAACAGTTTGTTCAGCTGCGCCTTTACATTATGGTTAACGATACGTTATGGTTAAATATGAAGAAAATCCGATACATGTATATATTGCACCAAAAGGGTGGTGTAACGAACCCCCTTAGATAGGAGGGTGGTCTGGGAGACGAGCACGTTGGCTATCACTACTAACAGTGATAGCAGGGTTGTCTGGGAGACGTGCACGTTGGCTATCACTACGTACAGTGAAAGGAGGTTGGTCTGGGAGACGTGCACGTTGGCTATCACTACGTACAGTGATAGGAGGGTGGTCTGGAAGACGTGCACGTTGGCTATCACTACGTACAGTGATAGCAGGGTGGTCTGGGAGACGTGCACGTTGGCTATCACTACTTAAAGTGATAGGAGGGGGGTCTGGGAGACGTGCACGTTGGCTATCACTACGTACAGTGAAAGGAGGTTGGTCTGGGAGACGTGCACGTTGGCTATCACTACGTACAGTGAAAGGAGGTTGGTCTGGGAGACGTGCACGTTGGCTATCACTACTTACAGTGATCGGAGGGTGGTCTGGGAGACGTGCACGTTGGCTATCACTACTAACAGTGATAGCAGGGTGGTCTGGGAGACGTGCACGTTGGCTATCACTACGTACAGTGAAAGGAGGGTGGTCTGGGAGACGTGCACGTTGGCTATCACTACGTACAGTGAAAGGAGGTTGGTCTGGGAGACGTGCACGTTGGCTATCACTACTTAAAGTGATAGGAGGGGGGTCTGGGAGACGTGCACGTTGGCTATCACTACGTACAGTGAAAGGAGGGGGGTCTGGGAGACGTGCACGTTGGCTATCACTACGTACAGTGATAGGAGAGTGGTCTGGGAGACGTGCACGTTGGCTATCACTACGTACAGTGATAGGAGAGTGGTCTGGGAGACGTGCACGTTGGCTATCACTACGTACAGTGAAAGGAGGGGGGTCTGGGAGACGTGCACGTTGGCTATCACTACTAACAGTGATAGAAGGGTGGTCTGGGAGACGTGCACGTTGGCTATCACTTCGTACAGTGATAGGAGGGTGGTCTGGGAGACGTGCTCGTTGGCTATCACTACTTACAGTGATAGCAGGGTGGTCTGGGAGACGTGCACGTTGGTTTTCACTACGTACAGTGAAAGGAGGTTGGTCTGGGAGACGTGCACGTTGGCTATCACTACGTACAGTGATAGCAGGGTGGTCTGGGAGACGTGCACGTTGGCTATCACTTCGTACAGTGAAAGGAGGTTGGTCTGGGAGACGTGCACGTTGGCTATCACTACGTACAGTGAAAGGAGGTTGGTCTGGGAGACGTGCACGTTGGCTATCACTACTTACAGTGATAGCAGGGTGGTCTGGGAGAGGTGCACGTTGGCTATCACTACTTACAGTGATAGGGGGGTGGTCGGGGGAGCGGTGCTAGTGTAGGACACAGAGACGCGGTTGAGAACAGTGTGTTCAGCTGCGCCTTTACATTATGGTTAACGTTACGTTATGGTTAAATATGTAGAAAATCCGATACATGTATAATATGCCCGAATAGTGTGTAAAGACAGACACCGTCAGCGGAGGGCGGTATGGGAGACGTGCATGTTGGCTATCACTACTTACAGTGATAGGAGGGTGTTCTGGGAGACGTGCACGTTGGCTATCACTACGTACAGTGATAGGAGAGTGGTCTGGGAGACGTGCACGTTGGCTATCACTACTTACAGTGATAGGAGGGTGGTCGGTGGAGCGGTGCTAGTGTAGGACACAGAGACGCGGTTGACAACAGTGTGTTCAGCTGCGCCTTTACATTATGGTTAACGATACGTTATGGTTAAATATGTAGAAAATCCGATACATGTATATATTGCACCAAAAGGGTGGTGTAACGAACCCCCTTACACGTTACACATACGCTCTACGTTTTATAAAGCCATTGTATCGTTCCGGATGAATTGGTGCTAGTTAAAACTTAGCGCACGGCGGGCTAGGCGAGCAAACTGATATGTGTGTGTCGTGTTGTTTATGACGTAGAAGAGATTGGACTGTGTATACCAGCGTATGTTTGTAACCTGTTAAACTTGAACCTCATAGTCACTGTTGAACACAACATCACAAAGAAATGAACATAATGATTTTAATGAAATTCTGTCCTGGATTTATTATAAAACATGATTCTGTCTCTTTCAGTTACTTTCATCTTATTTATATAGAAATTTCGCTCATTGATTTTTAAGCAATTTTTTTAAGGACACTTTCCCTTCTGTACCCCTCTCGGAAATAAATATTTTTGCTTAAGTAATCATCTTTCAATCGCAATAAATAGAACATTTTTTAATCCAAGTTTTTAATAAAAATCAAATAGCGTCACCGACGCACTTTCTTGGACCTGTGCCTGAACATACACTTCTTTATATTGACATATGTTTTACGTACTGACTAATGTAAACGGATATGCTGTATTCAAAAACGTTCCATGCAACACAAATAGACCTTATGACAGAAACTGCATTGTATAATGATTTATTGATTTTATCTTATGTTAATTCTTTTATGTTGTCATCGCTCTAAACAGGTCTAATTTGACAACGCAACTTTGTCGAATTTAAGGTTTGATTTAAGCTCGCTGATGGCTTTCCAAAGAAATTATCAACTCGTTTCATGATCGGTTAGTTTTACGAAAACCCCTCATTACGCTCCGTACGGGTGTATATTACAATAGGTTGTTTACATACTTTACTTTGTCATCGACATTGTTAGTTTTCAATAATGGTATAAGGAAACTTCGCTGTAATAGCAGTTAACAATGGAAAAGCACGTACCTGGTATTCAGCAGCAACGCCGGTATATACGTGTACATACGTCGAGAATAGGTACATTCTTTACCTACCACTAGCTACCTGTATTTAATCACGTGACCTTGATGGTATCTATTTACATGCGTAATATATTAAAGGGTACCTGGCCAATAGTAAACCAACAGAAGCTGTAGAAAATGTTTTTATTCCGCTTTGAATAATCATGAGTATTATGCTAATGTCAGCAAAACGAGGGCAACGACAACCATTGATAATTAATCGTGTGACTATTTTAGGTTCGAGTACGCACGTGCCTACACATTGGTTTGACAAATATGCATTTTAATTATGTACCTATTACAGTGCTGTCAAACGTGCCTAAAACATAGTTATTTCTGCATGGCTAACGCTCTGACCCTGTTTGTGTTAGGATGTCATCCATGTTCTGATGTATATATATAAGGGTGGGTGAGAATAGAAGATGTAGGGTCGTCACTGACGCTTACCACGGTCACTGACACTATTTAAAGGTTATCTATCGGCCTTAACCCACGCACTGGTGAATTCAAAACTTTCTTTAACAGTCACGGAGGTGTTATATATATATATTCACGACAAGCGACTGGAATACACTCGATAAGTAAGTAAGTAAAGGGAGAAATAAGAACAGACATACGAGCAAAATCCGAAGTGATAGTTTTACTGTCCTACCATTGTAAGCTTCGATAAAATAAAATCATTTCTTTTAAATATTGTGTATCAAATAATTCAATTACTTTGAATACGGTTGATATTTTCCTAGTTATAGTTTTTCGTCTATATTCCCCTTACATCCTGGAAAGGATGGCCAAGTGTTAAAGGTGTCTGACTGTCTACGGTCACTAGGTCCCTCCACCACTGGGTCGCGAGTTCGATGCCTACGTTGGGCAGTAGCCAGGTACTGATACCGTAAAGCAATCATTTCCCACCTGTGATTTGGGTGTGTTGTAGGTTGATAACTGTCGTAGGTATATCCTGGCCTCTTAGATATCTATCTTAAAAAGTTATTACTTTGACTGTAATTGTTGACTTGCCTTAATATTAGGACATCACTCACTCAAACATAAGCTACGTTGGTGAAGTATTCAAACAATTCATTCCTCGACATCTGCGGCTCATTAATACTGTATACCAGGAAATGTTTGCTGAAGTTTAATTTCGTCTGTTTTGCCCTCCGTAATTAGGGCGAAGTTATCAGTACAGCGAACATTTGTACACAGCATTATATACATAGAAATCGAATAAGAAAGGAGAATTTAATATTGGTAGAAATTGGAATTTAACGTCGAAGGACGAAACTGTGACTTGTCGATTTAAAAAAAAAGAATATTCTAGCATACTTCTACAGAATAAAAGATTCATTATACTGTGTTAACTATACACAAAATGATATTACAAATACTGTAACGGATCAGATAAGCATGAACAACACCCCGAGTACCTAAACCATCATTATTATTACAGACATGATTCAAGTCAGAGTGTATGGAAGGGGATCACCGCCATAATTATTTTTTATAGAATTAGTTACTTCTGGTTTGGAATCTAATTCTATGTACATTTGTATTATTTCCCTAGTTGATAAGTTATAGAATTAGTTACTTCTGGTTTTGAATCTAATTCTATGTTCATTTGTATTAATTCTATGTTCATTTGTATTGTTTCACTCGTTTACAAATCTATTGCGTGTTCATTCCATGCTATGCTAGTTTTACCGATCGCGATTTCGACATCGTTTATGACTGGAGCGCCGCTTGTCGTCTTAATGAGGAACTAAAATTCTAGAATGAATTCTAGAATTCATTCTAGAATTTTAGTTCTCATTAAGACAACAGCCGGCGCTTAAATCGCCAACGAAATTCGCGGAAAATAATGCTCGCTCCCTTAAACCGGAAACATACCCGATTGTGGCAGTAGATTTTGGAAAATGCAGTCGACAGTGCGGTAAGTCTTGGTTATGACAGCAATTGAACTGTAATCTATTTAGGTTTGAGCCAAAATTGTTTGTATCGTAGCAGAAAATCGTCATATTTATAGTTAGGATGCCGTAGCCATAACGAAATCCCACAAGTATTTGGTAACTGGCAAAATGTTAACCCTGCACACAGGGGTTCGTTACAAATGCATGTCTGAAATACAGAACTGATATTGGTGCTGTCATAGCTTGACAAAGGGACAAGTCGGTCTTGGAAGGTTGCGACACGTTTAATACGTTGTGTAGAAAGTAAAACTTTGATATCAAGTATCCAATCACAAGTGTTTGAAATTCTGACTGTAAATTGAGATAAAAATCATATAAAAAATAAGGGTATTAGTCTACTACCAAAAAAGTAGCAATACCCTTATGTTTTATTTGATTTTTATCTCAATATTTACAGTAAGGATTTCAAATACCTCGGAACCATATGTACATTTTTTTCCTGTTCATGCTTCATAATTAATTTTGATAAATTTGAGAAGTGGATGCAAATTTCATATTCAGAACAGCATACAGTGATCAGCTAATTAAAACTAACC